TGAGACCAGTTAGCATGTGCATACTGAACAGAGAAAAGATGTTTCCTAAGCTTGTTTCTGCCAACTAAAGTATCTTGCGCTGTTTATGCTTTGTAACTCTAATTCTATCCTTTGTATCATTTATCAGTGCCAAAGTCAAGGTTTACTTGGGAAAATGCATTTGTATTTCACGGAAAGGAACATTTAGAAAAATGATACAATACTTCCGAAGAAACTTTTTAAAAACAACAAAAATCTTTTTTTTAAAAAAAAGTTTTATTATTATTATTTTAAACCGAGTTCAATAATAATTATTCAACAAAAACTATTGACCAATAGAGTCACACACTCACAACAATATTTCTTCATCTGACCTTCCAGATACCCCTTCAATTGACAAGCCAAACTTGTCTATATTTACCGTATATTATCATTTCTCAGCAAGGCTATTGAGAAGGTCAGGGATCTTGGCAACAAGGCACTTGCATTTCCTAGGAAATTAATCTGTACTGGAACTGAGGACCACAATCAACAGAGAAAAGCCACACAGCAGTCTATGGTTTGTTAGTTTACCACAGCTCAAAACGTCAAGATTGGTTTTAAGAAGTTTGCCTTTTGGGCCAAATATTTGAATGCTGTATTCTGGAGCTTGTGAGGGTGAAGATTCCTTAACTAACAGACCGCAAATATATTTTCAAAGCCAATTTTTCTACTGGGACTGTCATTTTTAAATATTTTATTTTTAACCTACACTAAAGGTCCAAGGATGAGAGAATAATTCAAGATAAAATGCATGTTCAGTCTGTAGAAAGTCCCAGATTGAACATCTGGATCTCAAGAAAAGCATTTAAAAGGCTATTTCTTATGATCTAGAAGAGAATCCACTTTAGTGCCATCTGCACTAGGAAAATTGGCCTGCATTAGTGTAAAGGATTCATGTTGAGGTATAAAATAATTGAATTCAGTCAATCCCATATAAGGGAAGAGCTGAAAGGGTTTCCAGATTCATTTACGTGGGTGAAAGGTTGAAGTGCTTCTTTCATTCAACTAAGTATTCTCTCCATTATGATAATAATGTGGACTTGTCCCAAATCCCATTCTAAGAATGCCAATGCATCCTTTTACCAGTACAACTTCTAATTAGCCTCAGGATCATAAAAATGGGCTGTCTAGTTCTGAAATCCCTATTTGCTGAGTAACACTTCTTTGCTTTAGCAATGGGTGTCCCTGCTACAGGTAGTCCTTAACTTCCAACATTTGTTTAATAACTATTTGAAATTACAACAGCACTGAAAAAAATGACTTAATATTGGGCCTCATACTTACACCTGTTGCAATGTCCCCAGTCACATGATCAAAATTCCGGTGTATTTAAAATGGTTGCAGCATCCCACGGTCACGTGATTGCCCTTTGTGACCTTCACAGGCGCTTCTGGCAAGCAAAGACATTAGGGGAAGCTGGATTTGTTTAATAACCACGTGATTCGGTTAAATACTATGGCAAGAAGTCATAAAAATGAGTATGATTCACTTAACAACTATATCGCTTAACAACAGAGGTTCTGCTCCTAAAAAAATACCAGCAACCACTTGTTATTTTATTTCAGTGTTTGATTTCCTCTTGTTTTCTGCTGCTGCTGACTCATGAACACATTCCTGCCAATTGGAGCCTGAAACAGAGAATCTTAGAAAGGTCTCTCTGTATGTGTGTGTGTGTGTGAGCACATGTTGTTTTGGAGAGCAGTTGAGTCTCAAGCCACGAGGGATAACAATGATTAGATTTGTGCTGCCTTATAGAAGATACATTTGGGAAAGGATACTATAAAAAAAACACTTTCCAGGAAAGAAGGCCAGCAATATATCTTCATACTCGATCTTGAGGTTCAGCTAGCACAGAATGCAGCAATCAGATTAATACATTAACACATTAACATAGAAGAGAACATATGTAGCTCAGGGTTGAATCACGGAGTCCTTGGTGCTCTCTTGAGCTTGGCTCTTTGCTTGCAGATGTTTAGTACCTAACTAGGTAACATCATTAGTGCTTATGAATGGGGATTTGCCCCCTGTTAATGTATAGTAGCTTGCCCTGCCATTTGTGTATGTGTGAGTGAGGGTTAGTATGGTTTTCTCTTCGGTAGCTCCTTGGTTAGGTTATTGTTTTCTGCTGGATTCTTTAGTGTTAATCTCTGCTTATCTGAGTGTTGGCTGGTTGAGGGGATGTCATCCCTATAATTTTATATTCTGCTGCTTTTTGAGCTTTGATTTTTTGGAGGCACTGTTATAGATTATTGATAGAATATCTGCTCTTTATGAGATATCCAAGCTTTTTTGTAAGTTCTTTGGCTATGTTGTAAGTTGGGGTCCCCAGTTACATACCATTCAAAAAAGACAACAAAAGCTAAGAAAGAAATAAAAAAGATCAGAACAAATCTCTTTCAGTAGCCAACATTATATTTGTAGGGTTTTTTGGGACAGCGGGAGGGAGAAGAGCCTTTAAATTAGTGTTGACTCCTGACAATTGTCTGGACTAATGTAATAGAATGTGTAGATGACCTTGGGGACTGAGGGGAAGAGATGCTGCCCAGGAAACAATCAAACAAGCGAGGCAGGAAGGACCCACCCTAATGGATAAAGCAGATTAATGTGGCAGCAGGAAGTTTGTACTTTCAGGCTTTCAAGCCTCTGTTAATGTAGTTTTACAATAAATTAGTTTATCTAGCCTGTTAGGGTTGACAACTGCCCTTGCAATTTTCTTGGCAATGTTTTTTCAGAAGTGGATTACCATTGCCTCTTTCCTAGGGCTGAGAGAGAGTGACTGGCTCAAAGTCACCCAGCTGGCTTTGTGCATAAGATGGGACTAGACCTGCCAGTTTCTGGGTTTTTAGCTTGATGCCTTAACCACTAAACAAAACTGGTTGTTACATATGTAGGATTTCATAAATTACACATGCTATGTCTATTACAGAGATATAGGTAGGAAAATTATCCTGCTCACTCTTTTGGCTTGTTATTTATATATCCCTTTAAATTATTAAGACATCAGCTGGATTCTTTTGTATGTTCAGTGTAAGATCTTTTCCCATGTGATTCTTACAGCCTGTCATTGTTACCATAAATCCACTTTCAAACCAATCTCAATCATGTTATGTAATACTTGTTCCTCTTCCATAGCATCTTTTAAACACAGACTATAGAAGCAGACACTGTTAAAATTAACTTCTGGGTCAGTTATTCAAAAATATCCTTCAATATATCTAATGTTAACATTTTGGTTCATTCTCTATTAGAAAGTGTGAATGTTCTCCTTTAACTGTAATTTTAGTTCCTTCTAGTTCTCTTTAGTGTCTAATTTTTAAAGTCTTACCTTATTATGATTTTTTTGAAAGAATTAAAAACAAAAATATTTTCTCATGGGAAGGATTCTTTATATTACAAAAGTTTATTTCAAATTTATTGGTGTCTTAGTCCATTTATAATGTTGTAAAATCAAAATTCTAATGACGCTTTTGCTGTTTATTCCAGAATTTATTTTAAGTCCTTAAACTTGTATTTAAAACTTCTTTCACTAAGGACTGAAAGAAACTCATCTGGTACTGTAAAATGTATCAATCCAAAGCTTTCTAATAACTGAAAAGTAGTTAGCAAGCAATTTCTGAAAGCGATTAAGAGCTGTGGTGACACAGTGGTTAGAATGCAATATTGCAGGCTAACTCTGCTCACTGCCAGTAGTTTGATCCTGACTGGCTCAAGATTGACTAGCCTTCCATTCTTCTGAGGTCGGTAAAATGAGCACTCAGATTGTTGGGGGCAATATGCTGACTCTGTAAACTGCTTAGAGAGTGTGGTAAAGCACTATTAAGTGGTATATAATATAAGTGCTATCGTTATTGCTATTAGAAGCTGAATTTTCTTCCAATCATGGCAAGAATTGATCATAAAACTCCAAAATGTGCATGATCAACTTGAAGCTTAGAGTGGCAGATAATCTAAGACTGAAGCAGGGCCAGTTCTACTATGACTATTGTGTACAGATTTTCATGCATACTTCCTTAAAAAATGGGAAACTGACAAAAATAACAGAAGGTTGGAAAAATGAGGAACTAATTGTACCCAGATTTGATCCAGGCCTGAATGAATCTAGTCTTTTAAGAGCCCTGAAAACTAAAAGATTGTTTTATGCACTTTTTTCTCACTTATTGTGATCATCAGATCTATTTTCAATTGATAGTCTGCTTACAAAACTTCTATCTTTATGAATTAAATATTGGCGTATAAATTACATATGTTATTAAGAATGCCATGCATTCTTTGAGCAGTAAATGGTCATGAAAGTGCAGATGAGCATTTTGTAACTGAATAACACACAAGAGTAGCTGATGTTCCTTTAAAATGATTATATGGAAAATCTCTAAATGGGTAGATACATGTATTTGTTGATTTATGCATTTTATTTCTTTGCAATTAAAATTACTGAAAGAAGAATCCTGTTATTTAGTTTCATGTCACCCCTGTTTTCAACTCACAGATGCCCTAATAGCCAACAGTTCCAAGCAGAAGAAATAAAACACCAAGTCATGTTGAAGTTGGTGCTTATTTAGAATTGAGAAAATAGCAATATTAATTCTCATTATGTCACAGCACTTATTTACTCAGGTTGTAATGAAAAGAAAATAAAGTTTAACTTCTATGAAATCAACAACACTTCAGAGGTGAAAGGCTTTTAATTGTTTGAATATATGAGAATGTCATATTTAGAAACTTCTTGGACTTTATTAGACTTGTATTGTTCAATTACTTTGCAGTTAGAGCAAAATTTAGATAGTAAAATGAAGTTGCATTTCCTTGTCTTTGTTTCTCCATGTATTATGTTCCCAATACATGATAAAATTAAATGCGTCAATAAATTGGAGTAATAAATGTCTGATTTTTAAAATATCAATTTGCCAGCCCTCCAGCAGTGGATTAGAAAGCAAACATTTAGTATTTTTAGTGCTTTTTATTCATTTACACCACCTGGGCTAATGGCCACTGAGTGAGTCACAATGTGATTGATCAAGCATTTCACTCGTGAAGCTGGATCCTTTCTGGCTTGGAATGGCTGGCAGGACTTTGCTAGTTCCAAGAGGCTTAGTTGATTGCAGGGATAAAAATGAGAATGGAAAATAAATCTGGGAAAGGCTTGCTTTGGCAGACTTGGTAGCAGATGTGTCAGTTCTCAGTGAATTTAAGGACAGTAACTTCAGCTCTTTGGCACCTTGAGGAATTCGGTTGATTGTTAACTGGCCTGAAAGAAAGTACAAAGAGAGACATCAGAAACAAATAATAAATGATACAGGCTGTGTAAAATGAAGTGAATAATGTTAAAGTTAAGAAAAAGGTAGATTTTGTATTAAATACATGTAACAATCTTAGCTGCATCACTTGCAACACAGCATCACAAGTTGGACAAACCTATTTAGGCCACCAAATCCAACTAACAAATTAAAGCCCCTCCATAATACTTCTGCTTTAATGCAACTAAAGAAGCCCATCCCCTTATTAGGTAATTGGTTCCCATATTTTTATCTGCAATAATACTGCATATTACATACAGATAGTCCTCAACTTACAACAGTTGGTTTAGTGACCATTCAAAGTTACGATACTGAAAATGTGACTTATGAATGTTTTTTACACTTACGGCATCCACATGGTTATGTGATCAAAATACAGATGTTTGGCTCATATTTATGATGGTTGCAGTGTCCTGAGGTCATGTGATCACTTTTTGTGACTTTCTGACAAGCAAAGTCAATAGGGAATTCACTTAGCAGCCATGTTACTAATGTAACAATTGCAGTTGCAAAAGAGGTTGCAAAATGGGGCAAATTCACTTAACAACTGTCTCATTTAGCAACAGAAATGTTGGGCTCAATTGTGGTCATAAGTCAAGGGCTGCCTGTGCTACCACGAGATCCTTGCTTGTTATGGTCCTTATTTTTCTTACCAGTTTTACTTTTTGCCATGCAGATCTGCACACCTAGGGATAGTTCTTTATCTTACCTGCAGTAGGAAATCCCATGAGGACCACAGGCACAGAAGAGTTCATCTGTTATCCTAAAAATACCTTGAGATAAGAGGTGGCCATAACATACCTACAACATTCAAATTATTTGAAGCCAAGCCAATAACAGAACTCTGTAATGGCCAGCTGGACCTTATCCCATCCTGCACCATTAGAACTTACACAATCCACATTTTTAAGATCAGCCCTTCAGGATCCTACGGTAATTGTGTCTCTAATGCTATCCTGTTACTAGAGGCAGGCTTCATGAAAGTGGAAGCTAGAGTGTGGATGATCATACTCAGCTATTGGCTCCCTTATCCCCATCTAACACTCACAGATCCTTCTTTTAGATTCTTTTAGATCAGGGGTGTCAAACTCGCAATGTCACGTAACGTGTCATGACATATTGCAACTTTTTCCCAATTGCCGGCAATGGGGTGGGCGTGTTTTCAGCATGATGCATCCGGCCCATGAGCTGGCAGTTTGACACCCCTGTTTTAGATCTTATATTTTTAGTCTTTTCGTTTTTAATTCATATATCTTTTATATCATCATAATTTGTTTAGATTTTTATTTTTTTTACTCTTGATATATTCTTTATGATTTTTAACGCTGAACTCCAATTTCCTTATGCTGGTCTATAACCATAATAAAGATCTAATTGGCTTTGCATATCTACAGTGGAATTTCTTTTGGGAAGATTTAATCTCTTCCTCTCTCTCTCATGAACTTTAAGAAGTTTAAATCTCTGAGCAAAGTTCGTAGTTCTTCACTGATATATGAACATTTTTAACATTGGTAGATCCACCAGCTGCAACTGATAGATTTATTTTGCACCTGGGGATGTTACATTGTACAGTTAATGTTATTTTTGTTTCTTTCAAAATCATACAATCACTAAATGAATTTCAGTTTGGTTGTCTCTACAGAAAATGCCATTGCAGCCCTTTTTCTTCCATTCCTGTCTTGGCTATGAAGGATATGAAATATTTCTAAATGCTTCAAATTGTAACTATGATAAAAATTTGTGAGGAATACATACAGAGTCATGCAAAGTACATGCAAATGTATTTTGTCAAGTGATTATCTGAGCTACACTTCAACTTAACACTTGCATAAAAATGCAGCTAACAGGCTCATTTTCAAGAACAGTGTTGGATGTTTCAATCCAGTGGATGGATTAAATGTTATAATTTGAGATGTGCCTTGTAATATTTGCTTAGCTAAAAAAATCACAGGATGATTTATAATCTCTTATTACTTACTAGGGCACTTCCATATGGATTGAATTTCCTAACCAGCACTGAGTCAACACTGAAGTAGATGGACCAGTCTCTGCTCAGTACAGGTAGTCCTTGATTTACAGTCACAATTGAGCCCAAATTTTCTATTGCTAAGTGAGATATTTGTTAAGTGAATTTTGCTCCATTTTACGACCTTTCTTGCCACAGTTTTCAGGTGAATCACTGCAGTTGTTAAGTTAGTAACAGGGTTGTTAAATGAATCTGTCTTCCAAATTGACTTTGCTTGTCAGAAGGTCACAAAAGGTGATCATATAACCCAGGGACACTGCAATCGTCATAAATATAAATCAGTTGCCAAGTCTCTGGATTTTGATCACATGACCACAGGAATGCTGCAATGGTCATAAGTGTGAAAAACAATCATAAGTCACTTTTTTCAGTGCCGTTGTAACTTCGAACAGTCATTAAACGAACTGTTGTAAACCGAGGACTATCTGTATAACAATTTTCTATGTTTCTGAGTTGGCAGAAAAATAGCATGAGAAAAATGCAAGACTTCACTCTCTACTGCATGCCATAATCCTGATCTGGATTGCTCATTTTCTCTCCTAGACACACTGCATTTAGCTGCTATTCTTTTAAAAGAACTAGATATTTTAAAGAATGCTGATGATTTTAATTTTGTAGGTAGTCCTTGACTTATGACCATTTAGTGACTGTTTGAAGTTAGAAAAGTGCTTAAGTGACTTACACCCAGTCCTCACATTTACTATTTTGAAGCGTACTTGCAGCCATGTGATCAAAATTTGGGGACATGGCAACCAGCACGTATTTACAACGGTTGCAGCGTCCTGGGGGCTCACATCATTTGTGTCCTTCCCAGTTGGTTTCTGACAGGCAATGTCAATGGGGAAAGCTGGATTCGCTTAATGACTGTGTGATTCATTTAATAACTGTGTTGATTTGCTTAACGACTGCAGCAAAAAAAGATAATAAAATTGGTGTAATTCGTAGAACAGAATAGAATTGGAACGGAACGGAACAGAACAGAACATAATAGAACAGCATTCTTTATTGGCCAAGTGTGATCAGACACACAAGGAATTTGTCTCCGGTGCCTAAGCTCACAGTGTACATATAAACAGCAAATAATAGGTCATAAGTTATAATGAATACTCATTTAGCGATGGAAGTTTTGATGCTAGCTGTGGTCGTAAGCTGAGGGTTACCTCTATCTTTCTGTTTCAGTATTCGCTTTTGATATTCTTGCTAGAAGATATCTTAATTGCACCTTCCTAGTACATAATTGCAATAAAAGCCTCATCTTGCATGTCACAGCACTACCCAAAGAACCTAATTATCAAATTTTTAGAAGCATGCAATGTTCGCAGACACTATAATGCTGTAGTATCTGGGAATTGTCTCAGATCAATAGGAAAAAACAGGTTCCCTATATGGATTGGTGAAGAACGGGGTCTCCTAGCAACCTTCTATATACCATCTGTGTTCTGTGAGGGCAAGAAGGAGGGCATTCTGACCTTTTTCCCTGCTTATTTTTGCTCTTCCATATTGAAATTCATGTGTGTGTGTGTCTGTGTATTCTTTTTAAAAGGGGGTATAATAGCAGACCTTTGGATATGGCTCTCCTTTCCCTATCTCTGCTTCATCTACTCTTCACAGTTTTGGTATGCTATCTGACTTGAATATATCTTTTCATCCATCTATTAATTCTGTGCTGTTTTGTTCTTTTTAGTCAATACTACAATGTTCATGTAGCCTAGAACATTGAAAACATACTTTTCATCTTTTTCCTCAAATTTTGACTTGGACATTCTTGCAGGCTTAAGTGCTGTTGCCTATTTTTGGGGATCATACTATGCAAAGCCCATGAGATGGTTATGCTGGTGTTGGATATTTAGCTATAATTTTATCCTGGTTGGCTATTTATTGTATGCCGGTGTTTGGTTATATATTTATTAAATTAAATGCTAATGAGATGGGCAGCCCTATAAATGAGATAGATAAATACCTCTAGCAATTGAGCACATGCAAAATCAATACACTTTATTTGCTGAAATGGTGAAAAGTAGCCTAGGAATAAATAACATTATTTATTTTCTACTACTGTACTCTTAAAAACTCCAGATCCCTTCATTGTTCTTATCTAAGTTAGAAGATTTCAAATTATTTCTGTCTGTTTTTGAAAATAACCGTGTTTTGTTCTTTACTGAAATGCAGAAATCAAACAACAGTGGAAAAAGACTGGTAAACAGAGAATACAATACGAATTCCTAATACTGATAATCAGCTGAGATAGGAAGCTGAGCATTGTGACCTTCAAAGCCCAAATTCTGTTAAACTCAGTTCCTCTGAACTAAGAAAGGAAGGTCAGGAGAAGATAAATAAACAACAATGAGAAGTTGATGATGTAGTTCCCCAAATGGAGAAAAAAGAAATGTACAAACTTGAGTTATTAAAAATTATGCTGCCAGGAGCTTCTTCTATCACAGAATCAAAACTGCAAAAAGTGAAGAGAAAACAAGTGATTTTTTTAATTAATCAAACTTCATGGTTTGTAGTTTTAATATTATTATTAATCAGAATTTATACAGTGAGACCTTAGCATTATGGTTTGGCACTGTATTATTAATCTTTGCTACTAAACTTCATACTGGATATTTTATAGGTTTAATATTGGAATGCCTTAGATATTTATTATTTTTATGTTATTAAATATAAATATACCTTATATCTAAAATATAATGGTGTTTCATAAAATGTATTCTGCATTGCAATTGCTATTAGACTAGTAAAATGTTTAGGACAGTGATTCTTAAACTGGAAGGTAATTACCCTTCCAGAGGTAATTTGGGCATATTCTGAGAGTAAAACCTAGAGTGATTTGTAATAGCTCATTTGTGAGTTGAGGATCCAGTTTGGGACTGCCATTTCCAAAACACTTGTGTAAAACAACGGGGCCTTTTTTGGGGAGTGGGGGAAGGAGCTAACAATATTATTTGAAACGGGGGAGAAAAGGGATAATTTCAGAACCATTGTTGCAGAATATGCATGAAAGACATATTGCAAAAGTCTCTGTAGAGCTTTCATTGTCTTTGTATGAATGATAAGCTATTGGTAGCTGATATAAATGATGTAGACAAAAGCAAAGGGCAGGTAATGTAGAAAATTGTTGATAACACCTTGAACAAATCAAAGACCATTGAAAAATAGGCTGACAAGAGTCAAAGTAGCTACATATTATCAGTAAAGACATAAGCATAAGAATTTTTTTTTTTAAAAAAAACCCAGAAGATAGTCTTGGAGAAATGATGTCCTCTGGGTCAGAGTCAGAAGTATTAGACCGACCCAGATTGGATCCTGCAGAGTCAGAAGTTGACTGAATCAACAACAATAATTTGCTACATGTGTGGTATGCACAAGCCTTTGTACCCTCCTCTTGAAAGTACATAATGATAGGCTTGAGGTGGTCAATTACTGCAAGTGATGAATGCAAAAGACCTGCGCTTCATAGACCATTTTCTAATAGTAAAAAAAAAAAGGCAGCTCTGCAAAGGTATAATATTTTATATCATCTATATCATATATTTTCTGCATTAAGGGAAAACGTAGAAGCCTTTAAAAGAAAAGGTCTTATTCCATTGTTCTTACCTTTCTGATCATCGTGTTGTACCATGGGGGCCAAGTTGTTCCTTACAGCTGTTAGGGCTTTTCCTCTGGGAAGTTCTGAAGTGGTACGCTGAAAGGTTTTCCCTACAAAAGGAAGTAAGTATTATACACACACTTAAATAAGTTTATTTTGAAAAGACACAAAAAACAATATATGAATGGGACTGGGAAGAGATTGGAGAATCTGTATTCATTCTATACTTCCACATAGCATATGATTAGTGCAAAGTATAATCACCCTGTATAAAAATATATATACTTAATAGAGGCTGGTACAAAACATTGCTTTCCTAGCAGTTGCAAAAGTTTATTTAACCCTGCATTTAATCCTTACAACAGTAAAACACAGGGCTGGTTTCAGAAGCTGAAATTGCTGGGTATCTCCTAAAGATGATTTTTGTTTTAAATTAAACTCAATAATTCATGCTGTACTCCATACAAACTAAAGAATCATATGGGCCATAGAATAATCAAAGTTACTGTACAATAAAAGATACTAAAAATCTGAGAAAATTGTTTTGTCTTTTACCAGTACCTTGAAATTATAATAATACTAATGTAGCGCTACCTCTTCAGAGGCCGCCAATGCCCAGGCCCTCCCGGCCACCNAAACCACCCCCCTCCCTTACTCTTTATTATTAAAATCCGAGGCTAGAAACCCCAGCCAACTCCCTTTCTTCACACTCTCGCTTGCCTCCGTCTCAGATATCCTCCCACGGAGGAAGCAATAAAACTTCACTCTATCTAGCCTCTATTTAAAACACCCTTGATAGAAAAATAAAATAAGCTTCCAGGCCTTCTCTTCTCACCTCCAACCACCCCGGCCTTCTCCTTTTCTTCCCTTTTCTATCCTTCCTCCTTCCACTCACGCCAGCCACACCCAAGCCAACTGCAGCTGTCCCAATCTTCCCCTTCCCAGTCAAGCTCCTGCAAGAACTCTCAGGTAGTCCCCGCTACACACTCCCCCCACCAACAGTTTCTTTGGTCCCCCAAAGAATAGAGATCTTTTCTACCCGACATCAACAGCACCAGGGGTAGGCATCACTCCTTTTCTACAACATGTCCTAGGGCATCATATGTTAACCTCTTCACCGGGCGTATCACCCGCCTCGGTCTCTGCACCTTAGGTTCAACAATACTATGGGCACCATCCTCTGGTGGACCTCCACCCTCAGAGGTACCCGGGACTGGCAACTCTGCTTCTGACACTGGCGATTGCTGATCCCGTAAAATAACCGGTTCTGCCTCCAGCCATTCTCCTGACTCTACAATATCTGGGGGCAACAATCCATCCTGTTCTGGCCATTCCCCAGGCTGACCCCTGGCCTCAACTCTCTGGGAGGGCCCCTCCTGTTCGCAGATCCTAGATGCGGATTCCAAACTGTCAGGCCCTGGCTGTTCCAACTCTTCCTCACCACCCACAGCCTGGGGCACACTCTCCATATCTCCTGGTACCCATAACCAATCCATACCCCCCTCTTCTTCTTCAGAATCCCCTGCTTCCTCCTCTAGGGACGAGGCGGGTTTCGCTCTGGTTCTCACTCTCTTTCCCTTTACACCGGGGTCATCCCCAGGAACTGGCTGAGTAGTTCGTACTGCCTCGTGTAAAGGCAATAGATGGTTCCAATGCCATGCTTTCGAAGGTCCTGTGCTCCCCTCCCGTCGTATTCGGTATACTGGCAGCCCTGGTAGTTTTTCACTAACCACATACGACTGGGAACTCCACCGATCGGCCAACTTGTGTCTCCCAGCGGGCCCCAAATTTCTTAAGAGCACTCGGTCCCCAAACTGTAAGTCCTGGACCCTCACTCTCAGGTCATAATTTCTTTTGTTGCGTCGCTCCCGGACCCCTGCGGCCTCTGCAGCCTTTTCGTAAGCCCCCTTTAAACTCCTCCTCAACCTGTCCACATAATTTCGGTGGGACCTAAAAGAGGTCTCGTCCATTGAGGTGCCAAAAGCCAAGTCAACCGGCAGGCGGGCTTCCCTGCCAAACATTAGCCGGTACGGGGAGTACCCGGTGACGTCACTCCTTGTGCTGTTATAGGTGTGCACGACAGTGGAAATATATTGGGTCCAATGCCGTTTCTGCGTCTCAGTGAGAGTTCCCAACATGTCCAAGAGAGTGCGGTTAAATCTCTCGGGCTGTGCATCACCTTGCGGGTGGTAGGGGGTGGTGCGGGACTTCCAAATACCCAACAAACCCAACAGTTGCTTTACCAGGCTACTTTCAAAGTCCCTCCCTTGATCAGAATGTATGCGCTGAGGCAGCCCGTAGTGTACAAAAAATTTCTCCACTAACACTTTGGCCACCGTAACAGCACGCTGGTCTTTCGTTGGGGAGGCCTGGGCATAACGGGTAAAGTGATCGGTCACAACCAATACATTTCCTTGTCCACTGACATCCGGTTCTAAGGAAAGGAAATCAATGCAGACCAAGTCCAAGGGCCCATAACTCTGTAGATGGCCCATTTGCGCAGTTCTGGATGGCAGAGTTTTCCTCTGGATACAACGCAGACAAGATCTACAGTAATCTCCAACTTCCTTCTTCATACCGGGCCAGTAGAACCGATCCACTACCA